GGGGAGCGGGCCCTGGCCGACTCGACTGCCTCGGAGGTTGGCCGGCACAACTGCCGCCACAGTGAAGACGCGGGCGTGATTTGTGATTATTTTAGCAAGAAAGCGCCAGGTGACGGAGATAAAGGTAAGGCCCCTTCTGGCCCCTGCACCCGCCCCCAGCCATGACTGGGAGCAGTACCCCCACAGCTGAACCCCACGCCCAGGAATGCCGGCTGCCCCGTGCTGCTGGGGGGCAGGAGGGCCATCGGGGAGCCAGGGGCCGCTCCTGCCCCAGCCCGGAGGCAGCGACCCCTCCCAGTCGGTGGTGTCCCCGAAGCCCGAGTTGACCTTTACTTCCTAAAAGGAAATTAAAATCTGAAGAGGAATGCCAGGAAGGCACTGCTACGCATCCTGATATTTAAAACAACAGGGATCGTTTCTCAAATAGAAGAAGAAATTATTTCTTGTAGGTTTTATTTTGTGAAATTAAAAACGTCAGGAAAAGGAGAGTCTTTTCATAGGGGACAGGCACCGATGTGTTGTGCTTAAATAGAAGGTTCTTGAAAGCTCCTAGTGTAACTTTGTGAAACAAGTACTGCTTTAACCCGTTCACTGCCACGCGTCCGAACGGAGGCCACCCTTATGGCGCACACGGGGTGAGGGAGCGAGCGGGGCACTGGCTGTTTCGGAGGAAACTGGCCCTGTTTCATGGAAAGAACAATCACCCTTTTTTTACATGCACTAAAGGTCACAGTCGTGACGTGTTGGATTTTCTGCAAAGCGGGTGCATCAACCCTTGGACGTTCTCTGCTAACGTCTTTTCATAGCGTCCCGGGAGCAGACAGTGAACACGCTGGGTCTTGTTCATGTGGTTCTTCGCTCTCTGAGGGGCTTTTGAAAGTAGAGAAACATTTACAACCCTCTGTGCTCGGGGACACATGTATTTATGTCCGTGACAAATACGAGCTGGCAACCCAGTTCTTCCTAGGTATTGGTTATAGCTTATTTTATTAAACTCCCTTCAGTAATCCAACCTCCAGTTACAAGTTGAATATAACTCATAGAACATTCTGTCAATTATTCCTTAAGCAAAAGAAAAGCACACAAACCCAGTAATTGTAACATGTTTTACTATAGTCCCACGTCAACCTATTTTAAAGTATGACATAGATTTATTTCTCCTTGATTTATGCATTTGTTCTTATGCCTTCTTAGAGTTAATCCTCACCCGAGGATATTTTCCCATTGATTTTTAGAGAGAGTGGAAGGGAGACAGAGAGAGAGCGAGAGAGAGAGAGAGAGAGAGAGAGAGAGAGAGAGAGAGAGATGTGAGAGAGACACATTGATTGGTTGCCTCCCGCACGTGCCCAGACCTGGGGCCAGGATTGAGCCTGCCAGCCAGGTATATGCCCTTGGCTAGAATTGAACCTGGGGCCCTTCGGTCCATGGGCTGATGCTTTATCTACTGAGCCAAACCAGCCAGGACAGGCCTTGCTAGAGTTGCAGCAATGTTTATTTTGATACATTTCCAAGGTCCCAGTGCTACTGTACGTCAAATAAAAAGGTTTTTATATCAGACCCCCAGATTGTAGAGTCTGGCTCACTCACCTGTTGCTTCCGTGTTGAGGCTCGAGACCTAGTGACCGACTGCTAGAAGGTGATTCAGACTTCAGCAGTTGGTCATCCGAGGGGATCCTTTTATAAATGAGCTTCATTTTGCCTGTTAAGCGTTATAACGGTGGACTTTGTGGCCCTCGATAGACTTTCCTTCCTTGCAAGCTGGTGCTCCGCCCAGAACGAGGTCAACACCAGCCCCGCCGGCTCAGCATACCTCATCCCCACTTGGCGGCCTCCCGCTGGCCTGGCTCGGAGGGTTCCTGCAACGTCCGTTCTCCCGCGTCTCACAGTGGCAGTGCCAATGAGCGGCCTGGCGTCCTGCGGTGAGGACCCAGCCTGCGCAGGAGCTCACGTGGCACTCCGTCCTCGGGGGACCTTGGGGGACCTCCTCCATAGGACAGGCTAGTGCTGGCTTCCTGCTGGGCCGCCCTCTGCTGGTCACCCAGGCAGCCATTGGTGCTGCCAGGGCTCCAGGTCCTCACCCAGATAGACAAACGGTCTCTACTTACCCTTTCTACACATGTCCTTCCCCAAAGAGCTGAATGCTCGCCTATCAGTTCTACCTTCTGAAACATGGAAACATTAGCCACACCTTAGATTCCATCCGCTTCTGCACACCACTTACCATATATTTTTAACTTGGCTCTTTTGTTCATGCTCTTGCTGTAAAGGTTGTTATCTTAGAAGTGTGATTACATACAGTTTGCCAGCCCAGCCAGAGTGGCTCAGTAGTTGAGCGTCAACCTATGAACCAGGAGGTCGCAGTTCAATTCCCAGTCAGGGCACGTGCCTGGGTTGTGGGCTCCATCCCCAGCAGGGGGCGTGCAGGAGGCCGCTGATCCATGATTCTCTCTCATCATTGATGTTTCTCTCTCTCTCCCTCTCCCTTCCTCTCTGAAAGCAATAAAAACATTTTTTAAAAATTATTTAGAAGTGCTTACAGCTCTTCTTGAATTTGTCTAGCACAGTGGTTGGCAAACTGCGGCCCCTTATTCCTGCAACCTCTGTTCTCCCAGGTCTCACAGTGGCAGTGCCAGTGAGCGGCCTGGCGTCCTGCGGTGAGGACCCAGCCTGCGCAGGAGCCCACGTGGCACTCCGTCCTCCAGGGACCTTGCGGGACCTCCTCCATAGGACAGGCCAGTGCTGACTTCCTGCTGGGCTGCCCTCTGCTGGTCACCCAGGCAACCACTGGTGCTGCCAGGGCTCCAGGGCCTCACCCAGATAGACAAACGGTCTCTACCTACCCTTTCTTCACATGTCCTTCCCCAAAGAGCTGAATGCTTGCCTGTCAGTTCTACCTTCTGAAACATGGAAACATTAGCCACACCTTAGATTTCATCCGCTTTTGCACACCACTTATATATTTTTAGTTTGGCTCTTTTGTTCATGTTCTTGCTGTAAAGTTTGTTATCTTGGAAGTGTGATTACATACAGTTTGCCAGCCCAGCCAGAGTGGCTCAGTAGTTGAGCGTCGACCTATGAACCAGGAGGTCGCAGTTCAATTCCCAGTCGGGGCACATGCCTGGGTTGCGAGCTCAATCCCCATAGGGGTGCGTGCAGGAGGCAGCCGATCCATGATTCTCTCTCATCATTAATGTTTCTCTCTCTCTCTCTCCCTCTCCCTTCCTCTCTGAAATCAATAAAAACATTTTTTTAAAATTATTTAAAAAGTGCTTACAGCTCTTCTTGAATTTGTCTAGCACAGTGGTTGGCAAACTGCGGCCCCTTGAGTGTGGCTCTTCTACAAAATACCACGTGCGGGCGTGCACGTACAGTGCGATTGAAACTTCGTGGCCACACTCAAGGGGCCAAAGAGCCGCATGTGGCTCGTGAGCCGCAGTTTGCCGACCACTGGTCTAGCAGGTCTTCTGGTTTTTAATGGAAGGCCCTAAAAAAATAAATAAGTAAATACAGTTTGCCACCTGAAGGGGCGCAGTAAGCCCTTTTGATATGTGAATGTGGGAGTCGGTGTGCCTTTGGGCCAGATGCCCTCTGAGGGTGGCATGTGCACACGGGGTTGGCAGAGGGCTGTGTGTGAAAAGCAAGTGAGGAGACCACTGCGGCCTTTGGTTAACGTTCCCGAAGCCCTAACAGCCTCTGGCCAGCAGAGGAGGAGGTGTGGGTGCTGACGGGTCAGATCTGGACGGGGAAGCCAGTGCCCTGCCTGCTGTGAGTGGCGCTGCCTCATGACAGGCAGCCTTTGGCTCCCGTGGGAAAGCAGCCTGTGGTTTGAGGAAGGAGGGGCACATGCCTGGGTTGCGAGCTCAATCCCCATAGGGGTGCGTGCAGGAGGCAGCCGATCCATGATTCTCTCTCATCATTAATGTTTCTCTCTCTCTCTCTCCCTCTCCCTTCCTCTCTGAAATCAATAAAAACATTTTTTTAAAATTATTTAAAAAGTGCTTACAGCTCTTCTTGAATTTGTCTAGCACAGTGGTTGGCAAACTGCGGCCCCTTGAGTGTGGCTCTTCTACAAAATACCACGTGCCGTGCACGTACAGTGCGATTAAAACTTCGTGGCCACACTCCAGGGGCCAAAGAGCCGCATGTGGCTCGTGAGCCGCAGTTTGCCGACCACTGGTCTAGCAGGTCTTCTGCTTTTTAGTGGAAGGCCATAAAAAAATAAATAAGTAAATACAGTTTGCCACCTGAAGGGGTGCAGTAAGCCCTTTCATATGTGAATGTGGGAGTCGGTGTGCCTTTGGGCCAGATGCCCTCTGAGGGTGGCATGTGCACACGGGGTTGGCAGAGGGCTGTGAGAAGCAATGACGAGACCACTGCGGCCTTTGGTTAATGTTCCCGAAGCCCTAACAGCCTCTGGCCAGCAGAGGAGGAGGTGTGGGTGCTGACGGGTCAGATCTGGACGGGGAAGCCAGTGCCCTGCCTGCTGTGAGTGGCGCTGCCTCATGACAGGCAGCCTTTGGCTCCCGTGGGAAAGCAGCCTGTGGTTTGAGGAAGGAGGCATTGGTTTGAGGAAGGAGGCATTGGTTTGCAGGAGCAGTGGGGCTGTGTGGCTGTTCCCGCCTCGGCCTGAGAGTAATTCCTCCCCTTTCCGCCCAGCGCCCGTCCCGCCCGGCTGTGGGCTCCGACCGCTGCACCGTCGGCAGAAGCGCATCGTTGGCGGGAAGAACTCTCTAAGGTACAGGCTTGGGGCAGACTCCAGGGCAGAGGGACTGGGATGCACTCGGGTACAAACTGGGGGCATGCTGGCCTCATGGCGTTTTCCCATCACCCCCGGCCACGCTGAGCCTCCGGGCCTGTGCGGGTTCTCGCGGGGCGGTCCTGCTTCTGGGCTGCTGAGTGCTCGAGGCTGAAACCCAGAAACCGGCTTCCCCCCAGACCTGGGGGCGCCGCTGCAGATGCGTGGGCTCCGACCGCTGCACCGTCGGCAGAAGCGCATCGTTGGCGGGAAGAACTCTCTAAGGTACAGGCTCCGGGCAGACTCCAGGGCAGAGGGCTGGGATGCACTCGGGTACAAACAGGGCGTGCTGGCCTCGTGGTGTTTTCCCATCACCCCCGGCCACGCTCAGCCTCCGGCCTGTGCGGGTTCTCGCGTCGCGGTCCTGCTTCTGGGCTGCTGAGCACTCGAGGCTGAAACCCAGAAACCGGCTTCCCCCCAGACCTGGGGGCGCCGCTGCAGATGCAGGGCTCCTTGGCATCGAGGGAGGGGCACAGGCGTGGAGGGCCCTCGGGGAGCCCCTTGCTGCCCTGGGGTTAGAGCAAAGCCTAGACTCGGGGGAACAGGAGATGGTACCTGGGGGCGCCGCTGCAGATGCAGAATTCATGGAGTTCAGCGCCTGCTCCTCTGGACTTGCCCCCTGTCCACCCGTTACTTCGCTGCTGGATTTACTAAGGGAAAACCAGCGCTGTGCCCAGCGGATGCTCTTCAGGCTGCTTGGGGAGGGGGGGCGGTGAGGAGGGGAGGACGTCTCATCCCAAGGCCCAGAGGAGGGGCTGGCTTCTGGAAGGGGGTGCCAAGGTGCCCTGTCGGGGAGGCAGCCACGGCAGTGCTTCCTGAGAACATGGCCGAGGTGACACGGTGCCTGAGAGCAGGCAGAGACCCCTGGTTATGTGGTTAGGAAGGCAGGGAGGGGGCAGGCTCGGTTCTGGTCCTTTGGGTCATGTGTTTGTTGTAGTTTCTCTGTTTGTACCTTCTGGAGAGTCAGGTGGCATCCTGATCATTTCCTCCTGTCACACATTGTCCGTTCCGGCTGAAGTCTCCCAGTTCTGAGGCCCCCCCCCCTTCCACACAGGAAGTCAGGGAGTGGGGTCCCAGTGCTCAGGGGGGTCTGCTCTGCAGCCCGCATCTGGGAGGCAGCCACGGCAGAGCTTCCCGAGAACATGGCCGAGGTGACACGGTGCCTGAGAGCGGGCAGAGACCCCTGGTTATGTGGTTAGGAAGGCGGGGAGGGGGCAGGCTCGGTTCTGGTCCTTCGGGTCATGTGCTTGTGTGTTTTAGTTTCTCTGTTTGTACCTTCTGGAGAGTCAGGTGGCATCCTGATCATTTCCTCCTGTCACACACATTTTCCGTTCCGGCTGAAGTCTCCCAGTTCAGAGGCACCGCGCCCGCCCCCCCCCCTTCCACACAGGAAGTCAGGGAGTAGGGTCCCAGTGCTCAGGGGGGTCTGCTCTGCAGCCCGCTGGCCTTCTGCCCGTCCCTGCTCGGGGTACCCCCTTCCCTCCTGTCCCTGCTCAGGGTCCCAGCCTGCCCCCCTTCCCCCCCGTCCCTGC